TCCTCTCACAAACAGACTGGCTAAAAGAAACTTCAAGCGGAGAACCTTCAACCATTCATCCAGATGCACCCCATGGTAGTGGCAGTGCCCCTTCTGGTAAGTGTACCAGGTGGGGGATTACAGCCAGGCTGCTTGGTCCTAACCCAGGGTGTGTATATTGCTAATATATTTTTATTTCTCTCCCTAGAACGTGTAAGAACGCCATGGTCTGCATCTGAGGTGAAGGCTGTGGAGAAGACCATGACGCCTTTCATACAGACTGGAAAAGTCCCTGGGAAGTCTCACTGCCTGGCCTGCATTAATGCCTCACCAGATGACCTTAGACATCGGACATGGAGTGGCATTAAATTCTATGTCAAAAACAGAATCACTGCAATTCGAAAAAAAAAAAAAAATCCTTTAAAAGAGTTGTTTGTTTTCTATTGACTGGTTTGTATTACTTAAAGTAGTCCCAGTAAAAAAAGATTATGTCTATGGGTCCCATTCTGAACGGCCCTGTCAAAGGGACCCACCAGGCAGAGTTGCCAGGTCCGCGGTTTTCCCGCACAATTGGGCTACTTTAAATTGGCCGTTGCGGGAAAAAATCTTGTGCTGCGGGTTGCGGTTTTCTTGGGCTGATTTTAAACTGTCCGCGGCCGCAACTTTATCTGTCATTTTATCTATTTTTCCCAATCAGATTCGTCACATTCAAAGCTCAGCACTGTCCCTCACCCCCCTTCCCCACCCCCACCCTCCCCGTCTCTCTCGCTCTCTCTCTCACTCACACGCAAGCCTTTGAGTGGTGCCGCGGCACGCCCCCCTACGCAAGACAGAGGCCGCACGTGCAGCGGCAAAGAAGCCAGTCAGTCAGCTATCAAGACCGTCATTTTGGTCATTTTTAGGCACGCGGAAAAAAGAAGCTAACAGTGCGATGTCAGGTAAATGGGGGAAGTACCAAAAACGATATAGGATATAGTCAGAAAGGGGCATAAAAGAGTGGATACGCAGTGTCCCAAATGATGACAGAAAGGCTTTCTGCAAGTTCTGTAAGAGTGAAATGCGAGCACATCACAACGAGAGCTGCAGCAGAACTGGATAAGAGGAAGAGTGAAAATGTAAGATAATTAACTAATCTAGGTAGGTACTAGGTAATGAAACACACACTCTTTTAAACAAACTTTTGACTGACACCTATGTCTTTGTGTGTCAATACAGCAGCTGATGAAAGGAGAATAAACCAGCCAATGTTGTTTGGCAAACAGAATGTTTATTTGATAAATAAATTTAAATTGAACTGAAATTAATTATTGGGCTAGTTTTCATACTTTTTGGTCGAGTTTTGAGAGGTCATTGGGCTGGAAATTTTTCTTGGACCTGGTAACCCTGCCACCAGGTAACAAAAACGTGTGTGTGTGGGTCTGTTGGGTGGTCTGGGGGAGGGGTCTTGGGCCGGCGGGATTGTTTTTAACCAAACTGTAAAGCACTTTGTGTTGCATCTTTTGTATGAAAAGCGCTTTATAAATAAAATTTGATGTCTCTCGAGACCAGGTCCAGATAGGGAAAAAGTTAAGTACTCTGGTCACTCATTGCTTGTTGGTAATTTCCTCACTTGTGGGAAGGGATTTTCAAACAAATATACACACAACTTAAGTAGAAGCACAAAACAGAATGGCTATATGTGAAAGAGCAAAGTACAGCGCAGTAGAAAAGTAGTAAGTAAGTAAGTAAGCTTTATTTATATACCGCCTTTCACAGACCAGAGTCACAAAGCGGTTTACAATTGTTATTCAGCTGCTGAACTCAGACCCGTCATTACCCGTGTTAAAACGCTCCAAACATGAACTTAAACAGGATGTGTGATGTGTATGTATTTATGTGTCATTTACTGAGCTTTTTAGCATGTAACTTGCAACTCTCCGTGCTTTTTTTGCCCCTTGGGGATAAATAGGTTAGGTTAGATTTGGGCAGAACAAGCCTGGAAGTCGTGTCAGGGCACCGCGCGGCAACTGCAACCTTTGCTAAAGTCTTTGCTAATAGTGCCTCCCACAGACGGATTATTGTGCCCTGTAATCACAGGCGTCGGACTGGGGGGGTAAAGGGTACCAAGTACCCAGGGCCCAAGGCAGGGAGGGGCAATATATGTATATGTATTGCGCATTAACGTAGTGCTGGCCCATCAAGTGTCCCAGAATTTGGTGCTACCCCTCTGCCTGTAATCACAGGGACGGTAACGTGATGGAGAAGACTTTGTCTTGTGTTTGTTAGACAGAAGAGTGCAGGAGAGAAGAGAGGGAGAGCAGGGGAGACAGCAGCAGGGAGAGTCACAGAGACACTCAGGCACTCGCTTCACCCGGAGGCGCGCGTCTGGGCAGACAGTTAGCAGCACCCACAGCAGGGGCAGTCATGATTTGCATTTTTTACTATTTCTCTGAACATTTAGTATGTTACAGTGTGAGTTCTCTTTGTGTGTTCATGTCCAAGTTATTAACATGTCTGTCATATATATATATATATATATAGAAAATACCAAAATCCACGATTTCCATCGCCATATGACGTCAGAATATGCAAATTAGATGGATATTTTTCTAATTTACAGAATTCCATCATCTTATCACTTTTGAAATTAAGATGTCAAATTCGAGCATTTTAGAAAAAAACCTCTGGCACTTACAATGTATAAAATAAACTGCAATGGACACTGAAAGAAAAGAAAAAAAATCACAAATAAAATCTTTGTTTACAGTTGTAAACATGACACAGTGCGCAAAAGTTCAAGGTATATTTCGGGAGTCATGGTATATCAGATATTGTAAGTATTTTCTTTGATTTACTGCTGTAGAAATATGTCACACTGACTAACTCCTGAAACCAAAACCTGAAATTTGAAGCGTGGCTAACAACAATGAATTCACTTAAAAAAAAATAAAACACAATTTCTTTAAAGGCAACACTTTTGTTTTGAAAAGACAAAGAAAGATCTGTCTATGACGTCAGTCTGGGGATGCATCATAGTATAATGACAGAACATTTAGACAGAAGGGCTGGGAGAAGCTGCTCCGTCATGACGACCGCTGTCCACAAATGTGACATGGAGAATGTAAAGCAAGAGCATGGCATTTATTGATGTACAATATATTTGTGTTACATATCTCACATCTAAAACAAAAGCATAAGAACATGATTTGACAAAGAACATAATTTAATAATTCTCTGAAAGTAAAATAAGACCTAAACATGTTAAAAGATTCGAGAATAAAAAAAAGTTGATACAAAAAAGAATGGTCACAGGATAAGGTTTGGTTTGGCTCGAGAGACTGAGGCACTGCGCTGTTAAAGAACACATGATTACATATTTAGCACATTTCAACTCTATATCTCATTTTATTTATATATATATATATATACACACACATACACATACATACAAGCCAGGCCAGGTAAGGCATTGCGAAGATGTGGCTTTGATGGAGCAAGAGGATAATATTATTATGTCAAACTATGTACATTGAATGATAACCGCATTGTACAATTTCTAGTTTTTGATTTTTATTAGGAGTTGAATATTGTAAAATCATTTCCACTTGTGTAATATTGGTGTTCTTTGTGGCATAGTGTTTTGCATTGGGATTAGTTCATCCTCAAATGTCGTCCAACACATTTAGAAACACGACATTGAACTACCTGCAGCCGATGACAACAAAATCAGGCAAACTCAGAAACATGGCGCTGTCCATCTGAAGCAAGGTAAGCAAGGGAGGCTTTGGACTGGAGCAGTCCAAAAGCCTCAGGATGCACACTTGGTTAAGAGCAGAAATCTGGAACTATTCCAGAGGTTACTGTTAAAAGGCATGGCGGAAATTGGCATAAACCCCTCAAACTATGATCCCATAAGTTTTTTATATTATTGTGGAAGGATCTGAACCAAATCTGTTTGAAGCACAATGACAACATTGTCACTCAAAGAGAAAAATGTTGCATGATCTGTTTTGTAATCGTGTCAGTGGCAGATGGTACTGGTCTAGTTTCACTTAGGGCTGGGCACAGTGCAAAACAGAGCTGTGCAGTGTGAAGCAACTAGAGGGAGTATCAGCGCCTTCAGATCCGAGGCCAGAGCTCTGGGCCAGTCCCTCCAGGTGGAGAGGTCCCGGTCAGTCCTCTCCAGGTGCAGAGGTCCTGGGGTCCTCAGGTGCAAATGTCTTTCCTCTGGAGGAGTTCCAGTCTCTCAACTCTTGCTCACAGTGCGGGAAGGATGGAGTGCTCCAAATGAGTATTATATGACTTTGGCTGCCTCACATGAGCGCAGAATAGAGCCACTGCTCCCCAGTGAGGACTATGGGGAAGGCCCAGAATAGCTGAAGGGACTAAGGCCTGGGAACACCTCAGAAGAGTGTGTGAAGTAGAGATCGTCTGATATTACTCTTTAAGGGCTGACACAATAATTAGTAGTACAGGAGTCCGATGGCTGATATATAGAGCCATATACTGTAAAAGTAAAAATATTAGGGTCAAAACGTTAAATAAAACTAAGTCCAGTACGCAAGTTTGTTGAAATGCCTGCACGTCTGATTATTTAATAAAGACTGCTCCCACTGTACAGACCTGTGTGTAGCAGAATGGGGAGGAGTCAGGTCACATATCACAGATGCTGACAAGTAGTCAAAAGAGTCTTGTTATTTTAGTTAACTATGGCAGAGATGAAGCAAATTAAAGTAATCAGACAGTTCTTTGGACAGGCAGATATACAATAGGGTAGATATACAATAGTAGAACTGTGATACAAATGAGTGCTATTGTGTTGTGTAGAACAAGACTAGATATTTGACAAGGTAAAACCAATAAAATAAAACAAATCTATTGGCTACAATACATAGTCATATATATTGTTAGCGGCCTGGAAAGGGTCGACCCATGGTGTGGAGGAGGTGTGGCCACTACAGTATAGCCCTGCTCTCAGCATGAACACTCTTCATCCCAAACTGTCCTGTAACGCACGGTGCTGGGCTTAAACTTGACTTTTGTCACAGGTCTGCTGGGTTCACCATGGTGAAGTCTGAGTCCTTGCTGTTGGTAGAGCCGTCATCAGGGCTAGAGGATCCCGAGAGACTGGCAGGAGTCAGGGGGTCCTGGAAAGTGCCTGCCTGGCCCTCGGGCTCCAGCCGCACCAGGCCACGTCCCCTCCGGATTGTACCACCCCCTTGCAGCTCCCCGTCCTGTGACACCAGGATGTAGTCGCCCCAGTTTCTGCCTGCACTCGCCACCTGCAGGCCAGAAACAGAAAAACATTTGGATTTGGTGAGGTTACATTTACAATCACCACAAGTACTGTGTGTCCACCACAAACAAGAATAATGAATGCCTCTTCATTCATTAATTCATTTTCATCCCCTTTATTAGTCCATTTATCATAGTAGTACCAACTCCTCACTGATGTTCCAGCAGTCCACAGGAGGATGGTTGCTTGGCTTTGGTCTTTCAGCAAGGGCTTCAGGCAGAGTGTTCAGGGACACAATGACAGCAGATGTCAATTGGAGTAGCTGGAGGGAGGGCATTGAACCCACAACCATTTTTGCCTGAAGACCAATGTTCTACCAACTGAGCCACTGTTGTCCTTAAATAAAGAATAGTACACATGCCCAGCATCAGCTCACACAGAGCGCACAGGGCGCAATTTGGCTGTAGGGAATACAGAAGCACCTCTGCACCTTCTCCACCAACTCTCACTGATGACTGCTGTCGTTGTGTCCTTGGGCAAGACACTTAACCCCACTTTGCCTAAAGCCCCCACTGAAAGATCAAGGCTATGCTCACAGTCAGAGAGCAGCCGTCCTCCTGTGGACTCACCACCTGCAGAGGGTCAGTGAGGGGCTGGTGCTATGAGACTTGGGTGGCATCTCTGACTGCCACCCCCCTGACCCAGAAATGGATTAAAGGGTAGAAAATGGATGGATGGATGGATGGAATACAGAAGCAGTTGGGCTGTAGCGCAAACACTAAGGAGCATGGAAGACAGGGTTAGAATAGTTCCAGATCTCTGCTCTGCGTGAGTGTACACCCTCGGTAAAATAGTAACGGGGGAGAGAAGAGACTGCTGTTCCGAGTCTAGATGCAAAGGGAACCGGGAACCACATTCAAGTGCACAGAGGATGAGTCACAATGATGAGATGCAACAGACACGTTTGGACCGGACTTTTCACTGAACCCAGAGCCAAGAGGAGAGGCTCAAGACCAGACCTAGGCAAAATACGGCCCGGGGGCCAGGTCTGGCCCGCCAATCAATTTGATCCGGCCCGTTGCTAATTTTTCTGGCCTTTCTGGCCGCCGTGCTTAAAGGCGGTTCTGGAGATGCCGTCTGTCCGGATGGTATACGGCGGCTGCTGGGTACGTTTTTGACAACTGGCAAAAGTGGCACCCCGTTTGTCTGTCGGGACTGTCCATTGAAGACATTGAGGATATATACATTTTTGGATTTATGGTGGCAGGGTTCCTCCTGATTGGATTTGGAGTTGGCCTGATCTATCGCAACTTCAGAGGAATGTCCGCTCCGAAGAATTTCGAGTGGCTGTCGGCAGAAAACAAGGAAAGTTTCCGTGAGTTGACCAGGGTCGTGGTCGAGGGCGCTGTTGGGACACAGAGGGCTGTGGTACAGATCGAACATTCCCTTAAAGCCCTGGGATTGAGGTTTATGGAAGGACATAAACGTTTGGAAGGATTGATTGAAGGACTTGGGCCTCATGGCGAACACTCGCACTGACGTGGTCAACTCTGGATAACTGTGAACAGAGGGATCCAGTTCCAGTTTATTTTGACTTATTTGGCGTTAAATTCTACACTGCCTTTGATTTGACCAGCTAAAGTGCTTTACAAATTTCCACGAGGCATTTGTGTTGTTTTGTCTCCCACGTCCGCTGGCACCTGCTCTTATCTTTGTCCTCCACACCACATAGCCGGCCTTCAAGGCCGAAGATGGACTCTCTCATAACTTAGACTCTCAGTATACCAGTTGTTTGGCTCACCCCTCCCCCTACATGTCTGTCTCTCTCTCTCTCTCGCTCTCTCTCTGTCTACTTCTTTTATCCTGTCTTCTTGCTCTGTGATGTTATTGAGGCGTTCAAATAGTTTTCTGACAACGGATAGTTTGTGTGAAATGGGGTGTTCTGAAGTCCAGAGTAAATATTTATCAGTGTGCATTGGTTTTCTTGTATACTGTGGTCTTGATGCTGCCAACATGTGATGCATGACGCGTAGGATATGTGCTACTGTCACTGTAAGTAAGTAAGTAAGTAATCTTTATTTATATACCGCCTTTCACAGACCAGAGTCACAAAGCGGTTTACAATTGTTATTATTTTTGGGCATTGGTCCACTCACTCCACACAGAGATGGGAGCGGGGTCGCCAGTACAGGAGGCGCATGCCAGACCTATTGTGCATGTTTTTAGTGGTAGGGGAAACCGGAGTACCCGGAGGAAACCTACGCAGACACGGGGAGAACATGCAAACTCCACTCAGAAAGGCCCTGGTCCGGCCGGGATTCGAACCCAGGACCTTCTTGCTGAGAGGCGAGAGTGCTATCCACTCAGCCACCGTGCCGCCCAACTCTTAGCCAGGAGCTAAGAGCAGCTCCTGGCTATTCTGCTTGCGGTCTGCATCAGTACTTTCCCTTTTGATATGCAGAATCCTTTGCATTAATGAATTTTGCTCCCTGAGACAGTTTTGCCGCTTATTTCTGAACATTTGGACAGTTTTATTGACAATGATACCGTTTTATTACCTTGACTTAGACATACAGCAAAGGATGATTATCTAAAAGATGTTGAATCATGTTGGTATTGGCCCCTTTCACTGCAACTTTCTGACAACAGGCTTTACATGTTGGAATTCCATCAGCAACAACAACACCTTGCTCATCTTTTGGATGTTAATGTTAAGTTACTTCCGGGTTTACTGCATCTGTCCCACCTCAAAACGGTATTTTTGTCATTAAAACGTTAACAGATAATTCTGAAAACCTCTGTGCATGTCTTTTAAGAATGTATATGTATAATGTATTCTCCGATTAACATTTAAATGTGTTGATTGATTGATATGTGTTATTGAGCGTGGCTAGCTTCAATAGCGTCTCTCACACAAACAGAAGTAATAAGTTACAGGCGTTGAAAGCCCGCTGTGATGAAGTGTGCAAACTTCTGTCAAAAGTACAGTAGGTCCCATTTCGTTTTGTCGTCTTCATTCACGCTTTTCGGGAATCACGCAGCTGCGTGAAAAATATTACATCTTATCGCCACAAGGTGGCAGGTTAAGTCCGCTTTAGCTCTGCCAGCGACTTAGACGCTCAGGTATCATACTGCGTGCAAACCTGTCTAGCCCAGAGATTCTATCTTGGCCGAATGGTTAACATTGAAGGCTGGGACCTGGAGAACCCAGGTTCGATTCTTGTCTGAGGCAATTTTGGTTGCACATCTTTTGGTTGCTTGTGTGCAATTACGTAACGTTATCAGATTGTTATCTTCTTTCCTTGTCAAAAGGAAATGTGTAAAATTGGCTGTGTGTTCAAGCCGTGCATGTGAATGTATATGTGTTGCTATTGAATGCTTTTTCAAAGTAAGAGCATAACAGACAACATATACATATTTTGTACTAATGTTAATCTTTATAATTAAATTGCATTAACGTATATATGTGATGCGATCTGGGAAAACCCGTCGGATGTCACGCTGGCACGTTCCGAGTAAACAGTAAAAATAGGTCGATTGTCATTTTTTTGGCAAAATTGTTTTTTCATTAAACAATTATTATATAACATCTTGTCTTTAATGTCTGAAAAATCTAAGTGAAATTCACTAGTGTTATACGTTAAATATTGTGATATGTTTTGATAAACCGAACGTTACGTTGCATCCTCCGCTCTGGCCCCAGGAGCAGCTGCTGTGACCCCCGCTCTGACAGCTCAGTGAACGCACTGCCGTCTGGGCTCCGAGCGCGGACCATAGACATGCGAACAGAACCACAGACAGGACCATAGACACGCGAACAGAACCACAGACAGGACCATAGACACGCGAACAGAACCACAGACAGGACCATAGACACCCGAACAGAACCACAAACAGACATTTACATTTACACATACGCAGACAGAACCCAGACAGGCGGAGACACGCGGATCATAGACACTTGGACAGAACCAGAGACACACGAAGCATAGACACTCGAGTCGGACAGGTCCATTTGTTTTATTTGTGTTTAAAGTTACCTAAGTTTCTCCTTGCATTAAAAATGCTTGGTGGTTGTGGATATTTAGACTGCGTGATTTGATAGAATAATACTGGCAATGTCTAATACTGCCCATCACTGCATATTTAACTAAGATTTTAGCAGATGGGATTTGTTTCGTTTTTCAATTGACTGATCATAATGAACAAATCTGTAAAAACTCCAATTCCGCCTGTTTTTTTGGGTTCAAAGCTGAATAAATCAGGCTAGGACAAATCAAGCATCATGCGGGAATAATCAATACTTTCACCTGCCGTGTCTCGCATTGCGCACACCGGAGAGAGCGAGAGAGTGTGTGTGTCTGTGGGGGGAGGGGGGAATATGGCCCATACTGTACCTGTGTATATATCACGTGGACTATAGACCACTGGCTGGGGGGGCACAAGCATCTTGGGGGATGGGCACGGCCCCCTATGGCCCTCTGTCAAGCTGCAGTCCTGGTTAGAGGCGGCGCGGAAGTACAGAGCCACGCACATTAAGCGTCTCTCTAGAACGCTGCCAAATTACAACCCCGAGGAGGCGATTGGACAGTTCAGAGTTGTAATTTTTTAATTACCTATGTGTGAGCATAAAGCTGTGTGTGTGTTTTAATAAAGCTTTCTTTGTATGAACATATTCCTGGAAAATGTTCATTTCCTCTATAAATAATATGAATAAATATATATTTATATAAATATTATTACATTAATTATGAGGCAGGGTGACCAATAGTGACAGATCTGCCAGCCAATCACGAGAGATTATACTTATTTGAAAGTAGTGATTTCATCCAATGGGGAGTAAGCTTCATACAATGGGCAGTAAGCTACCAATGGGGAGTAATCCCACGTGGGCTGGCCACGTGTGATTTTTCAGCCAATCACGAGTTTGAAAGTAGTGGTATCCGCCAATGCTGCTGCATTCATATGCTAATTAGGGCCATTAGCGCTCGGCCGGTCGCAGTGTTTCGCTGCATTCATATGCAAAGTAGGTACCAGCCGCGGCGG